TTTATGGGGGATTTTTAATTGTTGATGGGGTTTTTGATTTTAACTGTGAGCCGCCCAGAGTGACCTGTTGGGGGGAGATGGGTGGCATACAAATTTAATAATAAATAAATAAAATAAAGTTCCACGGAGCCCCACATTAGGCACAAAGCCAGCTGAGCGACTTTGGGCCAGTCATTCTCTTAGCCCTAACACTTTGGGGAAATGTTGCCAAGAAAACTGCACAGACTTGAGAAGTCATAACTGACTTCAAAACTTGTGTCTATGTATGTGTGCATGGGTATCATAGCAAGTAGAGGAAATCAAATTAGGGAAAGCTTATTCATATTTTAATCTGCATGCTGTGTTCATAACTATAGTGAAGGGGTAATGGCTCTGTGTCCTCTATATTATGCTGAACAGTAAGTCCTAGCAACCCCAACTGGCATGGCTCTGAGGAGAAACACCACGTTGTAAAGGGCCAAAGATTCCCCAGTCTTGAACAATCAATGCAAAGTAGCAGTTTTTGCATTAGGCTGATGGGGAAAGCCGTAACTGATATCTTCACACCACCACAGACCTGTCATTTGGGGCACATCACTCTCAGATGATGCTAGCCCTTAGGGCTGTTGCTGTGGGGAAAACATTTCTCCTGTATGCCGCCTTCAGCTCTCCGAAGAAAGGAGGGATATGAATGCAACCAATTAATAAGCTGCCTAATGGAGGACCAAAACCCCTAAGCACGACTAGATGAAAGGAGGAGTTTAATTGTGGATGGGGGGGGGGTTTGCAAGCCACCCAGTCTTCTGGAGTGAGTGGCCATAACAAATCGATTAATTAAATTAATTAAGCTGTACTGCTGTGGGCCTAACAGCTTGCCTATTAAACTCAGTGTTTTCTTTCTTTTTCGCACAGAAAACTATGATTTGAATTCGCCCCCTCGTTGCACTTAATTCCACCTTCCAAGCCATTATCAGCCCAAGGAAAAGGCACCAAGTGACCTCCGCTCTTCTACCTCTGGCTGCTTGGGACTCCTCTTCCATCTCCAGATCGGCTTTCCGCCAGAATAACGAAAGGCCCTTGGACAAGAGTTGGAGCATCTCCCCAAGCCTCCAGAGAAACCCCGCTCAATCGTCAGGGAGACCTCCTCTTCCTCCCTGCAAACCAAAACCCCAGGAACCGCGCCACGTGCCTCCCGCCCCCTTTCTTTTAGCGGCGGGCGGGCGGGCCGCGCTCCGCCACCCTTAGAGGGAAGCGTTCTCGCTTGCACGCATGCGCGCAGCTGAGGGGAGGGGGCTTTCCCGTTGGTGAGGGGAGGGCTGCGTAACGGGTACGGGGAGGGGGTCGTCTTTTGCCTTTTCCGCATTTAAATCCCGCGCCCCCTCCCGTCTCGTGACAGGTGGGTATGATTTCTGTCCCCCCCCATTTTGTCCTCAGCGCTTTGGAGGGAGTACCTTTTTCCACAGGAATGGCTTCTCAGCTTTCCCGAAGTTGTCGGCCGCTCGGTGTCTCGCCGAAAACTCTGAAGCGGACCTCGTTTCCCACGTGGCGCCCCGATCGGCTATTTCCAGCTCGGCGCTCTTCCCGAGAGTGGGACTACGGCCCCCATAATCCACAGCCGTTTGTGATTGAGGACCTTTGGAAGACGCACTTTGGACTGCATTTTCATGGGGAAACAAACTCGCTCGCACACCGAGGAGTTTAAGATAGATGGATAGATATCTCTTATATACATATATGTATATTGTGTGTGCGTGTACACACACACACGTATACATATTGTATATATACTGTGCATATTTATCATATACGTATATATTGTATATATATATTTAATATGTTATAGATATCTCTCCATATATATATATACATACGCACACATGATATAAGATATAACTGCAATTAGGAATAATTTTCTATTTTATTTTTAAAGCCAATGCTGGTGCAGGTTTTGGTAGCTTGGTAGAAAGGATAACATTCTCACATTGCGCTCGTGACAGTTGATTGAGTTCTCAGGATTCACCCAGTGCAAAGGACTCCTGATGATTGCATGGATGCAACCATGTAAGGGTTGAGGGGGTCAAAAAAGTCAAGATGGCTACTTTGCTGTGTCATTGAAGTCCTGGCAATCACCCCCTGCAGGAAATGATGTAGGTTTGTTGATGACAGAATGAAGGTGGTTTGCCTTGCCCTTTTCCAGGGTGTTTGTTGACTTCTCTAGTCTCCAGCCATGATACTGTCATGCAAGTATTAAACAGGACTGATCCTGCTTAGCTTTGCAAAATCAGCAGTTGATCAGGTGTTTCCATTGTTGCTATGCCCTAAATCATGGTTTACAGAGCACTGAACATTTTGATCCAATACCAAATAATCCACATTATGACTGAAAGCCTGGGTCCTCAACATGCCTATGAATACCTTCCCTGTTGTTTGCCTGGTTCCTTACTCTACCTGACTTTTTTTTTTTTTTTTAACATTAGAAATAAATAAATGAGAATCTAGCTGGCTGCAAAGCCCAGCCCAGGCCTGGGGATGTGCAGAATGTCCTGTGCACAAACCAAAACATGCATGTTTGATGTTTCGGTCCATATGCAGAATGAAACGGCTGTTTTTTTCAGGAAATGAATAGAAATGTGTCTGTTTTGGGCAGAAGAGCAGGGGAACGAACGCTGAGTGCAAATATCAATTACATCAGCTGTGGCTAATGGGAGGGAAAAAAGGGCAAGAGCTGGGAAGATTGGGAGGCAGGCTGCCTGGTGTGATGTGCCATGCTAGGGCATCAATAGCAGCTAGTATGGGCACAGAGGGAAAGGAAAGCACTATAGAAATGGAGGGCAGCCAGCATACAATCATATAGAAGAAAGATTAGGGTCCTACCCTCACCAGCCTTGTCCTATTCTTGTAGGATCCCTCTGGGATCCCTTTGGACTTGGTTTCAGCTGAAATCCAGCACAACCCAATGTTTCCAGGTTTAGTTTCAGCTGAACTGTGGCCAATCAGAAACAGTTTGGCACAACGGCTGGAATGTGAGGGTTTGTTTCAAGTTCAAATCATATTTTCTGTTTTGTGCACACACAACACCAATCTCAAGTGTAGTTTATATCTCCAGCATTTCCTCCAGGGCTCACATAGACCACAGAGGCGTTCTTAGAAAATAAAAAAATGGAGAGTGGCTAAAGACCAGATTTTTTTGGGAAA